CTAAACATTTCTTCGAAGAAATTATCCCTACTCAAACTTTTCTACAGAACCATAGTCAGATCCAGGACTATTATATATATTAAGGGATCTAAAATAAATACTAGTAATTGTTTTCCCGGGTGACTGTATGGAGCGGAATTCGTAACACCATTATAAATCTTAACATAGTAATGCGTGTGCCAATTTATACTTATTTCAATGCATGACTATTTGATAATTTCTATGACTTGGCTGTATACATGTGGTTTCGTATACATTTTTTCATTTGGCAATTAAAGTAGCTAATCTTCGACATTGAAAACACGATTTATTTGTCAAATTAAATCAACATTCATGTTGTGATCTTACCGGAAAAAGATGGGCTTTTGATATCCAATATTTAAGACAAAATAAACATTTTACCATTGGTACACGAATCGTGTACCATAATGCGCTTCAGCCCCAGTTGTATCAGGAGACTCGCGGAACGAGGCTAGACACATTGCACCAAATCAAACGGCGTATGTAAACTGGAATAACCAGACGCTAGAAATTTGCACTCGCTTGAGACTGTTGGCTTATTTCGCCGAACATAACTGATTTGAAATTGGAGTAAAAACGGAAACCATTGAATGTAAATCAGTTTATATACATTCATAGTACAGTATTATATGCGTTGCTGCCCACTTTTGTCAATTTCTAGGTCCCAAATGTTAGCGATTTAGCTCCTTTAATGTCAAGACGTGGTGGAAACGACAAAATTCTAACTCTCATTATGGCGTTGTTTAAAAAAGCAATTTACCAATTACCGGTCCTGAATTATATGGTGGTTGATAGTGGTCATAGTCGCCCTTTTTATTACCCGACATCACGACAGTCTTGGGGCGAAAATACGACAAGAATTTAACATTGAAGTCAACGAGAGAGGGGGAAATGGGGTTTAACGTCCACTCGGCAAAGACCAGGCCATTTCGGGACTCACATATGGTTTAATTTTATTTCAATAATTCGCTTGTGCGTATGGGGTCTTTAGCAGTGGGAGGAAACCGGAGGACCCGGAGAAAACCCACGAGGTTGGACAGGCAACCCTAAACCCGGGATTCGAAACCACGCTAGTTGACTCAATGACAGGCCTCGTGATACAGCGCGCGCATGCTAACCATTCGGCCTTCCAACACTCCTGAAGCCAATGAGGAATAGAATTACTAGTCGGAGATCATCCTATTATTGAAAGAGTTAGTTCCCTTATATATATATATATAATCAGTTTTTTGGCCACAGTAAGATGTTTATAACTACCCAAGATATTTCACTGAACACAATTTTGAACTATAATACAAGTTTGATTAGGGACAGCCGTGAGTTGGATTGTCAAGTTTCTGATGAATCGGAAAGCAAAGTTCGTGGATGTCTCATTTTTACCAACCCAGTTATTAAGACTATTGGAATATTATATTATAAACGAAACTTTATTAATAAGATTGTGTACTGACATGTCAATATATATCGAATGGAATCGAGTTGCTGATTTCTAAGATAAGACAATTTTTAGTACATATTATAACAGTGTGAAGTAAATAGTGTGAGAGATACTTCATAGAGAAAGAGAAAAGCATCTTACCTAGATAAGAAACCTCATCCTTCGTGTCTCGAGATACGAGATGGTACTCTATAGTTCGTCCTTCTGGCAGAGTAATCCACTCTGAATCCCGGTAAGTGACAGTAAAAACATGTTATACATGTTCAAAGGTTGTGACCACAGCTCTTGTCCGATTTAAACTAAACTTCAAATATATGTTTAAGGTCAAAAGATATTGAACATGCCAACAGTGAGGCTAGTGTCCCCCGCCGAAATCCCAAAATAAATAGATGACACATATTAATTAATCGCACACTTATTTTTTTCAAAAGTATCAAGCAATCAAACTGATTATCAACTATACACTAAGTTTCATCACTCTCTATTAGATAGAATCAACGTTATCTTGTCCCAAACCATCGACCAATGAAAAATCTTAGCTCTGCTTAGCTTTAGCTCGAAATGTTAATCATTGAACTCAATCAAGACATTCACCTAATGAACATCAACACCAAGTTTAACCATTCTACCTCAATTAGAAGCAGAGTTGTTATGTTCCAAAGTCTTGACCAATCAAATTGCTTATCGATCCTTAGCCTAAGCAGAAAATTCTCATCATCGAACTTAGTCAAGGTAATGATATAATGAATCTCTATAGTCGGAGTTTCATCACTCAATCTTAATTAAAACCAAAGTTATCGTGCTCCAAAGCATCAACCAATCAGATTGCTTATCTGACAATGTTTATCATCGAACTCCATCAAGTTGTTCACATAATGAACGCCTACACAAAGTTTGAACATTCTACCTCATTTAGAATGAGAATTATTGTGTTCCAAAGTGTCGAGCAATCAACCTGCTTATCTCTCTGCTTACCCTGAACAGAAAATGCTCACTATCGAACTTAGTCAAGGTATTGATGTGATAAAACTATACACCAAGTGTCCTCACTAAATTTAACGTGTCCCAAACCATCAACCAATCAAATTGCTTATCTCTGCTTACACTAAGCAGACAATGCTCATCTTCGAACTCCGTCAAGGCATTGACCTAATAAACACCTACACCAAATTTGACTTTTGTAGCTCAATTAGAAGGAGAGTTATTGTGTTCCAAAGTCTCGGCCAATCAAATTGCTTATCGCTCTGCTTACCCTGAGCAGAAAATGCTCATTATCGAAGGTATTGATGTGATAAATCTATACACCAAGTGTCCTCACTCTCACTTAATTAGAACTAAAGCTATTGTGTCCCAAAGCATCAACCAATCAAATTGCTTAACTCTGCTTACCCTAATCAGAAAATGCTTATCTTCGAACTCCATCGAAACATTGACCTAATAAACACCAACACCAAGTTTGAACATTCGAGCTCAAATAGAAGGAGAGTTATTGTGTCGCAAAAAGTGTGACGGACAGACATGGGCGGACGGACGGACGGACGGGCGGACGAACACATTTTAATAGTCCCCTGCTTTCTTCGAAAGGCGGGTGACAATAAGTTCCTGGGTTATGGGACAAAGTTTTGGAATCTCACGTAAAATGAATTGTGAACATCAGAGCATGAACACCATTCTCTGTTGCCTCTTCGTCACGGATGTGCGTTATCGACAATCTGCATTCCCCCATTTTCCGCCCCGGTTTGTTCCCCCTTTCCATCCCTTTGTTGAAAGCTTGTGAAAGTGATAGGAGCTCTAGTTTTTAATGGAGTTATTTTAAATTAGGGGTTGTAAGTTGATTTCGATAGAGGTTACAGTTTTTAACACATTTTTTTGTTTCAAATTCGATTTGAAGTAATGGGGACAATTAGAGAATGGACTCTATCGATTTTCCCTGTTTTACGTCCACCCCTTGCAAAATGTGGACGTATCTCACAAGGCAACTGCTTGTTCAACATTTTTGGCATGCTAGGACTTTAATATTACAATTTCTATCCTTAGACTCAATACCTTAGATCCGTTCATACTATTCTACACCATTGTTCCAGTTTAAAGAAAGTAATATGGACAAAATAACAATAGCATATATAGTAGGTTAAAACTAATGGTATGATTTACAATGGTATGAAAACCAGGGCTTTGTCGATGTCGTTTTTCGTTATTCTACTTAGTGTTATATTTAGTAAAGCAATTGTTTATCACTGATCTTAATATAATAAAGTGTTTACACTATAAATAAGGCAAACATGTATATATCTATGTTTATAAGTATAGCAAGTACTTATGTATAAGATAAGATGAATTATACTCCCTTTAATACGTTACACATTATAAATGAACTGGACAACAGGGCGGCGACCAATTAAATATGTTTCATAAAAGAAATTGTCAGACAATATTTCATTCAAACAGTTTACTCATCGCGACCATAAAAGCAAATGTATATTTCATGCAAACGCCCGTCTTCATTAGCCCAGACGAAGCAGAACAGTCGGGGATTAAACCCCCATTTCATTTCAAGCAAACGTCATGAGAGGCAGCATTATGCAGAATCGCTGAATCGGGGGGGGGGGGGATAGTTTGAAAGTATCTAACGTGGGGTTCTTGCAATGGGCTGTACTTAAAGTAGTTAAGTCTCTAACTCAATAGGGGGATCACGTGGCTAAGTGGGTAAAACGCTGGCTCGCTAGTCTGGAGGTCGGGTGTTCGATCCCTGCATTGGCCGAGAAAGTTCATCCAGATTTTCCGGCAGGATGCAGGACGGAGGGGCTGACAAGGAGAGCTGTCTAGTCGTTCGGATGGGACGAAAAACCGAGGTCCCGTGTACACATTGGCGTGCACGTAAAAAATCTCTTGGCAGTTGGATTTCGATATAAGAGTAGGCCGTAGTGCCGCTGTCCGGGCAAAATTTCTCTCATAGCACACTGTATGGCGTATGCCTGTCTTCATTAGCCCAGTTCGGAGCAAAACAGTAGGACGTTAAACCCCATTTCATTTCATTTTCATTTAATTTCTAACTCAATAACATCCAAAGTCTTCGACAGTGAAAACACGAATTATTTGTCAATTTAAATCAAGGGGGATGTTGTGATCTTACCGAGAAAAGATGGGCTTCTGATATCCAATATTTAAGATAAAATAAACATTTTACCATTGAAACACCAATCGTGTACCAGAATGCGTTTCAGCGCCATTTGTAACAATAAATACTACAAGTGTAGAGTGGAATAACCAGGCGCTAGAGATTGCCATTCGATTGAGACTTCTCGCGTATTTCGCCGAACATAACTGATTTGAAATTAGAGTAAAACGGAAATGATTTAATGTAAATCATTTTATATACATTCATATTATATCATTATATGCGTTGCCACCCATTTGTGTCAATTTCTAGGTCCCAAATATTATCGATTTAGCTCCTTTAAGCTACTAGAGAATGTAAGTAAAATAGAGAAATTTTTATCGATGTGTCTTTAAAAACATCACTGAAATGGATAACATAATGTTCAATAAAACAAATATTTAATAAAAACACAGTCATACATGATCGTTGATAATGATGGTACATTCTACAGTGACATTTTTATATCATTCTTATTGAACAAAACAGTGAAAACACTAATATACCCTTCACACCGTTGAAACTGCTAAGGATAGTTATTAATTTCCTCCTTTGTATCCCTTTCTTTTGAAAAAGAAAGGATGTTATAAGAGGTTTTCTTGTTGGTTTCATTCTACACCTATAAATTTAGCTGAAAAACGAAGAGGGTGTTTGCATAGGTCATATGAGTTGGCATTGGATCCTTCAAGAATTAAAGTTAGAGATAAAATAATCTATGTAAAAAAAGAAATTCCATCCACATGACGAATGTACATTGTGGTGCTCTTTAAAAGGTCGCTGGCTTTAAAGGCAATTTTACACTAATCAGAAGGAAAATCAAACCAGTAACGCAAACTGCGGTCAGTTACGTGAGGGTATGAAACGTCAAAACTAGTTCAATATTGTATAATGAAATATTGATGGACGGATTTTATTCTATAAAAATACTCTTCTAAAAACAAACCTGAAATGATATGTTCCAGAAAGTACCATTTTGACAAGTTATTAAAGATGCATTATGTAGGATTTAGATAAAAAGCTGGCCGTTGGTGTTAAAATAGTTACAAAACAATATAATTCAAATTAATATATTGACATTTTCATTCAAATTACTTTTTTCTGAGCGAAGTTATCACTGTTTGAAGTGTTGCCAAGATGTGACATAGAATGTGTATTATCGTAGCAAAGTTACGTGTTAATCGAGACTCGGATTCGTTTCTCTATTTTTTAATTAAATCATTAAATGCTATTTGTAAGTCGGAATGATAGATAGATAGACAGACTTATTTGGCAAAGTTTTTAGAACTAACTTGAGGACCCCTTTAATATTGGGATCCCTGGCTGAACCCAGTCACCCCCCCCCCCCACACCTCCTTAGTTTGGCCCTATGCACCTATAGACATACATATCATATCATATTTTGACAAATATTAAATTATTAAACTATAATATACAATCTTAAAAGCTAACAAGGTACCCATATTTTTATAACTTATTCTGAACTGGGGTGTTCCAATGGAGTCGATATATTATCAAATAGTACAATACATATTAACAAAATTGAATACTGTGATGTAGGTAGGACAATTGCGCCAGCAATTTAGAATAATTATCGACGGCAAAGTCTAGTAGAACTAATAGACCTATTCAATACATATATTTAATCTTGCATACTTGCGAGCCTATGCTTTACATTGAGCTATGTTGAATGAATGAATTTTCTCCACGGTTAAATCGCAAATGATAAATCAGCAACGTATGCTGTGATTTATGAGTTTCGCGAATTATCGGCTACTACAAGGATGAGCTGGCAAATGCATACATCTCGATCTTAATGGGTATTTCCCGAATAACTAATGATGGCAATGTAAAAATGTAAAAAGAAGAGAGCATAAGCGATTCATTTATCATGCTTGATATACGAATCATTGTCATAATCTGATTCCCATTATCGCGGATATTACTCAAGTTGGGAGAATCCACACTAAAAATGTTATATTTCCCTACATCGATCGCAAACAAAAATGGTTTTAGCTGAACATAATACTAAATCATAGAACTGTGTTGACATTTAATTAGTTGTACAGAGTGACCTAAATGTCAAATAATGAAAAATGTGTCATGCAAATAAATTATTCACTCTGATAAAGAAAAATATATATAAAGAATTATTTAGTTTCCCTGGGGTATCTTGTATGTTGTCGATATCTAACAATACACTGTAACCAGCAGTTTAAACTAAGTCGTTGGCAAGGACTAAACCAGTTACTGGCATAAGACGTAGCTAGCAACATGTGTACGTCATGTTCATATTCATTACCACAGCGAAAATATTTCTCATAACAACGTTTGATGCAGGTGAAAATTCTATCACTTTCGATATAGCTGGGTTTTCTTAACAAACACCTGGCTATCAACAGTGATAATTTACATATACTGTCTGAAGTCATGCCATATGAATAATCACTATCAAAATCAGTTAAATGGATGTCAACGATATCTTGATGTTTTTGCTGAAGTTCATCTCTAGCTTTACGATATTCTCGCTCTAAAAAATCATTTCTACACTCTGCTTCCTGTAGATCGCGTCGCAGTTTCTTTAACTGAAGCTCTAAAGTTGTTATTCGAAATAATAAATCGGAAATTTCGATGTGTCGAATTGGTTCGTCTTCCCGCGCCTTTCCTCGGTTTACCAGAATAGGCCCTTCGTCATCGATTGTTGATGCAATTGCTTGGCACTGAATCTGGTGAGATGCCAGTTCGTATCGATTTACCACTTCGTCACAACCTTCACATCGTATTGGAAAATGTGTACAGGTATCTAGATGTTTCGCCAAACGTTCAAGTTTCACAACAACTTTACAACCTCTCTCAACATGATCACACTGCACGTTTAAACCATTGATCAAACTTCTCATAGATAAAATCGGCTTGACTGAATCGTAGAGTATCAATGTTCGGCATTCTGGACAGGAATTAGTCTGAGGTCGATTCAACCAAGTTTTCAGGCATTCTAAACAGAAACTATGACCGCACGATGTGAGTACGGCATTTTCAAAAACTCCACCACAGACACCGCACAATAAATTAGGATCTACGCTACCTATAAACTTATTGATATTATAACCCATTGTCTGTATCAATCAATCAATTTAAACTCACTCTCCTTTCCACTGTTTAATTTGCTTGCGGCTATGAACACAGTACTAACTGTTAAATACAATGAAGTAACCTAGAACTTAAACACGACTGGCGTATTAGTACCACATGTGTTTCCTTCCAGTTTATTTTAGTGAAATATGTTGAGCAGACGAATGGAATACCTTTCTACTGGCTATCTTACCTCTAAGGTAGATCTAGTATATCGTGCACTGTAAGATGATACCTTCTATGTATGGCACAAGCACACCGATTGCTTTCCTAATACAAACTGGATCTCGGTTTAACCACCTATAGTAAAATCACCAGACTATTTTTCAGGATAAAATATGAATTGTCACTAAAACTAGTTTCAATATATGTACAAAAGGTAAAATCGATTTAACGTCTAATGTGTTTGAATGGCTATTTCAATAGTCAATGTCTATATTCTTTGTTTCCTGTGGATTATAATGATACCAAAAAGAAAAGATTCCTAAGCCATTAATGCACACATTCAGTCAATACCGTTTCTTCCCTTTTCCCACTACCAGTTAAATCAGCTCGCGTTATCCAATTACTAAAATAAACTTGAACCCACTACAGGTACGTGTATGATCAAGCGTGCCCGATAAGAAATCAACGTTCATTTCTTCATCCTATATACAGACCCGGCTTAATCAATTAACTTACACGCATGCGTTAAGCCCATCATCTGTCCAACTTATCTTTATTTTAATAACTCATATTATATATATACAATATACCTATAGTACACTTATTTATGTCTGTCTATCCATGAGAAATAAGGGTGTGTTTTCTTACGCGGCCATTAGAAATACAATGCCATTGAAAGTTTTGTGTTCTAAAAAAGCTCCCTCTATTGAATATCACATGCTAGAAAACTGTCGTTAAAAATACATAAAATTGATCGTTCATGACTTTCTGATTTTTTTGCCTAGTTCATGTTGTAGCAGGTCATTAGCCAATATAATATAAAATTCGACTGCTTTATGCAATCAATGAATTGTATTATAACAGAACGTACTAGTATATTAAGATTATTCATTGTAAATGCATGTATAAAATTGGTATATAATAATTTGTGTAGGATCAGTATAACAATAATGTATTGTGAAATTCGTTTAACGTCTGCTTCCACAATATGTGTTTTCTGCCAACATAATATATTATATCACCTGGTAAAGATTAAAATAGCCTGTGAAACTCTTTGGTCCTTGGTGCCTGTTCTAATATTAAATGTGCAATTCTAATGCGAAGTTTGGTATATGTATTTAAAAATGGATTGGGACTCGTGGTTTGTTGCGATTTTGTAACTGGTCCGCTTATCCATACGAAAACATTTCCAAGATCCCAACGTGTCATAGGGACCATTGTGGCTCATTGTATAAGGCGCTCACTCACTAACCAGGATATTCCGGGATCGAAAAAGTTCCTCGGGATTTTCCGGCGTGGTTTCCTTTTCTGTGATGCAGGGCGGAGAGCCTCGCAAGAAACAGTGTCTAGTTGTTCGTATGGGTGTAAAACAGAGTTCTTGTGCACACGTTAGCGTGCAAATAAAAAAAACCTTGACATTTGAAATTCGAAATAAGAGTAGGTCGTAGCGACGCTGTCCGGCAAAATGTCACTCATACCATACGGTTAGATCTATATAGTAAGGTCACATGCAGATTTCGTCAAGGTGTAAACAAGGCTAGCGCATCTAAAATCATCATAAAACACTATACTGATCTCCAGGAAAATCACCCAAAAATCTTCACACGGAAACTTATAATTGCATATTCTAAAAATAAAAACATCTTAATGCACAGTAAATTAGACTAAATAAGACCACGTGGGGATCACGTGGCTAAGTGGGTAAGACGCTGGCTCGCTAGCCTGGAGGTCGGGTGTTCGATCCCTGCATTGGCCGAGAAAGTTCATCCCGATTTTCCGGCGTGGTTTCCCCTTGTCAGTGATGCAGGACGGAGGGCCTGACAAGGACAGCTGTCTAGTCGTTCGAAAAACCGAGGTCCCGTGTACACATTGGAGTGCACGTAAAAGATCCCTTGGCAGTTGGAAGTCGAAATAAGAGTAGGCCGTAGCGCCGCTGCCCGGGCAAAATTTCCCTCATAGCACACTGCATGGCGTATGCCCGTCTTCATTAGCCCAGTTTAGGAGCAGAACAGTAGGACGTTAAACCCCATTTCATTTCATTTCATTTCAGCAACATCAATGTCGATAAAACTGACCAATAAATCGTGTTTGCAATGTCGAAGACTGTGGATGATTTTGAGTTAAAGACTTGCCGCCTTTAATATTTAGATCTTGTCCATGGCATACTGCATGGCGGATGCCCGAATGGTACAGAAAAGTGGAACGTTTAACCCCATCGCATTTCATGTCATCCCCAACGTACCATGCTAATCTCCATCATACGAGAACTCATGAAAGGACAATGGATATTTTCGGGCTGAGAAAAATTAGGAAAGTCTCAATCTGGACCTAGGTGATTTTTTTAAATCCTTTAATAACGATAAGTGAACACTTATCGAAACGTCGTGTTATGTGTACAAACCAGTGGTTGTTTCCGTAGAATTTGTGTTGTTTTTTTTTTTACTTCTTTTAACTCGAAATAATTGCAATACATGATAATTTGCACCTTGTTGAGGGTTATGACTATAGTTAAAGGGCATTAATCTAGAAGTCTAAATTTCATTGAAATTGGATAATCTGTGGCCTGTTTCACGAAATTTTAACTAAGATAAAATCCAAATTTTAGTAATTTGATTGGATAATATTAGATTGATTTTAGTGCTTAGCCAATCAAAATTGAAATATCTACTAAAATTTGGATTTTATCTTTAGTTAAGATTTCCATAAACAGGGCCCAGACTTTAGCTATGGTCAAAATAAATAAATCAAATCAAATCTTAAAACATTTATTTGTAACAAATCAATTGGAAGATTTGTATCAAATTTTACATGAATATTCTCGAATGAACCGTCAAATCAGTTTTTAATAATGTATAATACAAGCTAAAAATTTCTGATTTAAAAAAATTGTCTTAGTCTCAAAATAGCTTAGATTGAGTTGACGAGACATTATGTTTTTCTGTATGCATGTCTTTAGCTTAATAAAGACATGGGAGATCAGTAATACAAAAAAAAACCTATAGTATAGTAAATACAAGATTTAAGTGAACTAGTACATCCACTTTACGTTACAAGACAGTAACAATCAAATTATTAGCGTTAGAATTGGCTGTTTATTTATTTAAGATTTGTTGATGTGTATCTATAGTAACATAGCATATGGCATTCTAAAGGGAATAGAAGAGCGGATATTCAAATCGATGTTAGGTCGTCCAAGAAATGTAAACTCATCACTTTGAGGTAATCTTATCAAAAGTTAAAGCCGATGCAAGGTGAAAAATCACGACAATTCGCTGCTAATTAATGGCATGTCATAAATAATGAAATACCAACCGTATCGTGCCATATGCTTCCGTTAAAGCCTGTTATTAGATCTACCGCACGCAGAGTGGCATTAACCATTCCTTTCAATCCATGTCGGCATTCTCGAGAAATGAAGTTTGATTAAACAAAAATAAAAATATGGAATGGCAACGGTAATGGCGGACACGCATAAAAATTAAAATCTAAAGAAGGTTATAATAAGATTATAGTACTAATTAATCGATAAAATAAATATTCTGTATTCCAACCTTTGTTTAAAGGAGCTAATCTTAGCCATAATATTCGAAATTAAAAACACGAATTAGAATTCAATATTGGTTCATTTCAATCAGTATTGATGTTATCTTACCATTAAAATATGGGATCCAAATATCCAATTTTTAAGACACAATGAACATTTCAAAATCAATACACTGGACGTGTACTCAATGGTTTTGAGTGTCATTTGTAATGAACAAAGAAAACATATCCCACAAGACAATGTGGAAGTAATTAAAAATGGCCGATTCACAAACGACAAAATAATATTAAAAATGTCGTTCAATTATGACTATCCATTTATTTAACCGAACATAATTGATTAGAAATTACAATTTAAAAAATTTAAACATTGAATATAAATCATTTTTTGTACATTCATATTACATTAATATGTGCTTTTGGACCCATTTTCTTCTATTTTAAGGTTTCAAACATGAGAGCTTTACGCCCTTTGTTGGGGGTTTAGATAGCCGAATGGTTAGCATGTGCGCGCTGTATCATAAGGTCTGTCATTGAGTCAACTGGCGTGGTTTCAATTCCCCGGTTGTATGTGACAAGGAGTATAGGGTCGCCTGCCAACCTCATGGGTTTTCTCCGGGTTCTCCGGTTTCCTCCCACTGCTCTTTTACTCGCCCATTGATGCTTTTTTTAGGTGTCTGTATCTAGACCTTCTGAAATCACCCACATTGCAACTGTGTAGAAAGAAAAATATACAGACTATATAAATGAAATGGAATGGAATTTTATTTTTTGCATCAACCGGGATAATTACAACAGGCATACGCCACGCTTGTGCTATGGAGAATTCCCCAACGACCTACTCTTATTTCAATTTCCAACTGTCATGTGATCTTTAATGTGTTGCCAATGGTATACACGGGACCTAGGTTTTTCGTACCATTCGAACGACTAGACGGTTTTTGTTTTATTGCCGGTCTTGCCATGGGGATATCGTTTTGTACTTCTGTGTCATTTTATACGCCCATATTTCTGTGTAGGGGAAGTCGTTACCCATACCCTACCGCTGATCCGTATGTCAACAGTTGGCTTCTGATCAGATTTTTGTTCAAATTTTGTGTGAAACATTGGGGTCGTGAGAAGACAAACCCTGTCGATTTTGTCAGCATTCTGCGACCTTCCGCTCCAGAGTAATGCCACTTTTCCGCAAAACCTTGTGAGTTACACCCCTTTTCCGAAACATTATTTTAACGTGAAAGGGTCTACAGTAGAGTTATTACTGGATTTTTTTTCAGAGCAGCGAGGCGAAAAATTGTGAATATGAAACATTGTGGAGCGAGTAGGCCCGTAGCTAGCAGAGGAGTAAGGGGGCATATCAGTATGGAGGCACCATAAAGCCGAGTGACATTGGTTGGGTTCCCATGACGAGATTGGCGGCGCGCCCAAAAAATGTCTCTTGGTTTTTTGGGCTCCTTGCCAATCATGTCGTTAAATATGAGGTGCCCAATAATGAATCACACGATCAACACCACAACTTGATTGATGGAGCGCCCATAATGATTGGTAGGGCGCCTTATAATGACAATATGATTGTCGGGCCGTACATAATGCATAATGGGCGCCCACGACTTCAGCAATGGGGCGCCCAAAACGGCATGATTCGTGAGGTGCCTCATCCCGGAAGGGCGCTCATTATGCCTAGATTGGTGGACCGCCCACGACGAAATCTGCCATAAAAAAAGCCAACCGGAGAATGTAGGAAATTTTCCAGGTCAAATTCACGATAGGAATGAGGTGGATTCAAGCTCGCGCCATGCGTGATAATCTTCAAAATTCTAACAAGTTGCACTCTAACCCGATTCCGATCTTTTCGTTTTTCTCATAATTTATTATAGGTACGCTAAAGTCGTATTTCTTCATTCAAATTTTTATAATGTTCATATCAAAATATCATAATACGTCAATGTCGCAAATTCAACCTCAAAATTGAAATTTTCCGTCATTTTC